CTTCATCATATTCCATCACTGCCATCATCATTTCCAATGCACTGAAGCCAATATTCATCTCTATACACTATACTCTGGTTGTAATCTGCCAGAGCATAATGAAGACGCTCTTCATTTCGTGGTCTGACATCTGTGCACGGCCAACCAGAACATGTATTTTCTTTCATGTCACTGTCTCCACTGAAACACACAACCCATCACCTCACCATGCTCACATCCAGCATTTGGTCTCCATAAATATTCAGCAAATGTCAACAACCGTCAACAGGTGCCATTTTTTCTGCATGGAGGAATTTGATGACACACCTTTGCTTCATACACACTTCCATGTGAGATGCCATTTTGTCAGACTGCCCCCCTGCTGCCATCTGTCACATGGCAACAAATTGTAGCAGAGTATTGGTGGGAAGGCTCAGCCTGTACTGCCACACCAAAAACATCTGCATCTGCCATTGTGGGCCAGAATAATAAAATAGGATGCATTACTTTTGGAGCCGCCCTTGAACTTGTGCAGGTAAGTTCACAGATGAATAAAAATACTTTATTTATACATATGAATATAAATAGAAAATAATTTAAAGGGTTTGGACTAGATGATTTCCAAAGCTCCCTTCCAATCCCTATAACTCTATGAAAGAAATGCATAAGCAACTAAGATACTAAGAAGAAAATCAAGATGTGTATGAGCCAGAAATTCAAGATTCATCTCAGCTACATATGCATCAGTAGCATAGAACCACCTAAGAAGCCTTCATCTGCTAATTATGAAGAGCTGGGCTGACTCTGGTCCTCAGTAATATCTTTCTGTTTGGTCTGAAAACTGCTGGATTTCCTTCAGTACCTCAACTGGCATTAGATACCTAAGCAACTCAATGCATCTGTTAAATTTTATAATAGTAGCTCTTTAAGGATTTCATGCCTCTTATCTCACAGTTTTAAACTCCATCCTGTAGTCACCCTATGCCTTGGTTTCCTAATAGTGAAAAAGACTGAAATCTTAAAAATGTTTAGGCAACATGTATATCTTCAGGCTATGCAAGTCACTTAAGTACTTGGAGGATTAGAGGTGCATGTGTGTAAATTCACAGCAGCAGTGAAAGTCTACTGTCCAGTGCCAATTCACATATTAACCGTTATTAGTGAACAATACTTTGGAATGTCAGAAAAACATAATTTAGTGCTTCATGCTTTATGTTAATTCATTTTGGCTTCCTGGTCACTGTTTCTCTCATACAGTACTTTACAGAACTTTTTTAAGAGAGTTTATCTTCATCAAACTGCAATACTAAGCAAGTGATAAAATTTTAGAATATCTTAAATGATTGGAACAACCTATAAATAGATAGTCATATGAAGTCATTTATAAGGACTAGTTTTACTGGGTAGCAATTTGATGAACTGCTTTTATCCCTGTAAATCAAGAGCACTGATGAAGCTCCAAAGTTGTAGAAAGAAGCATGCTAGAGTCCAGTGACCTCGTGTGCTTGAACATTTTCACGTTAAACATTTTTTTCCTCAGCAGACTAAGTTGAGTAGGCCTGCAAGTCTGTATAGAGGTCTTAACTTGGCCCAGGAGTATCTATGAGTCCTATGCATCAAAATGATGTTTACTGATTCATTAGGTTTCATCACAGTTTATGTCTAGTTTATATATTACAATGTATTACTGATGAGATTGTTTTTGTGTGCTTTAGAATTAGCATAACTGCAAAATAACATTTACACTATGAAAATCACAGTATCATCTGCAACTTCAAATACTGAGTATCTCTGCAAAGCTATGACAAGTTTTTACATTTGAAGGACACTGCAGCCTATTACACAACAAAATGTTGAAGTTAATAATGATTGCATATATATACATATATATATATATTCAAGTACGATTCCATTCCTACAAGCATAAATGAGCTGAAACTTGGGACTGAATCTGCCTCAGGCCTATTAAATGTTATGCAATTTTTATTTCTGCATGACACTAACAGAAGTTAAGAACTGCAACTTGTTATGTGTGCCAATACTCAGTAAATGGATATAGAGTAGTTAAGGAAAACATAAGTAACATTTTAATACTATGTTTCACCATATTTTTAAAACATATATATTGATGAACGTAAGGCAGAACTGTACATTCTTTAAGGTTAGTAGCAAGCAGGCTGTTTCTTGCTAGGAAGTCCACATACTGAAGGTAGCACAAACAAATCTTCCTAATTCTAAGTACAGTAAGAACAACTTCCTTAATGCCTAAGGGGGCTGAAATATAAAGAGTTAATTTCTGTGATCTAATGAATGATTAACTATGAAATCCTTTTATCTGAAAAAGCAAACCTTTATATTAGGGTGTTAATTTAATTAGTAGAATTTTGCTGTTGAGAGTTGTATGAATGTTATATTTGTTCACAGATTTATGTTATTCCATGGACATTAATTATATCATTGTGATATCCTCTCTCCTGCTCTGAACATCTAGAAAGACCTGTACTACTAAATCATACTTAATAGGAGTGTGATGGTTGTTGCTTAGGCAACAGAATGAATAAATGCAGGTCAGAATGTGCTTCCAGAAAAACAAAAGCAGGAATATGGTACAGAATGAAGAACAAATATGTCTAACTGATTTTTTAGTGCACTGAAGTATTACAGTGAATACACTGAAGTATATTTTGTTTGATGTAAAGCAGATAAAAGCAGGTAACCAACATGAAAAGCTTGATATGATAAGCTTGTAAATTATATGTAAGCCATTTTAATAAAGGTAATCCAGTTCTCTCATGCTAAAGAAGACTACAGTACATTCAAGTTTGGAGACGTCTGATTTTTTTCTGTTACACAGCAGTTCTTTCCTCTCTCATTTTCCTACAAACAAGTTTAATTTTCTCATTAAAATTTTGGATAGGATGGAAGATATTTTAACAAACCCTCTCTTGAGTTTTTCAGGACAGTCTTTCATTACATAATGTTCTCATATTCAAAAGAATAATAGAAAAAGAAATCAGTATTTTCTGTTAATTTTATTTTTCATAAAATAAGGGAAATGATCAGTTTCTAATGCAAAAACATAAACTGAAATGTGTTACAGTATAATAAACTGTGAAATCCATAAATTAGTAATTATTAAACTACTGCAATTTTATACTTTTATTACTAGACAATTTTCCAGATTTTTGTCTAACCACTGTATTTGAGGCTCTAGTCTTCTGTTCACACGTGCATGCTAGCACAACTGTTCTTAAGAGCAGTTGTCTGCTTTATCTGCAATATATATTTAGGAAAATAATAATTTAAAATGATTGGAAAACATCATCTAGAACACACACACAAAGCAAAATAAAAATAATAAAAAAAAACAGGCATAATTTAATCTGCCTAATGCCTGAAAAATTAGATTTTATTGTTAAATATGCTCTCAGATAAAGTTTGCAGATTTACAAAACTGTGCCAATAAGATTCTAAGGAAATGCAAGTCATAAATTCCCAGAGAATGTGGCTGGGGCCCCTCCACAGCCAGGGAATGACTGGAAAGCCCTCCAAGGCAGTTTCTTGAGCTCCCAGGGTGTTCATCATTTACCTGTGGTAGGCGTACCCCTCTGCATTTGTTATGCCGCCTACAGTCTCTTGTGAACAATTTCCTTCTGTAATCTCTTTAAGACTAAATGATCACCTACTTACGTAACTAATGCTACTATACATACATATAAGAATTTGTTGTGATGTTTTCGGAAACTTTGGCTTGAATTTTTTTATTTTTTTTTCCCCCCTCACTCTGCACTCCCTTGCTGCTTTGGTTCCAAGAATATTTAAAGGAAAAGGTGGTAATGATTTTTACTGATGTAAGCAAAAGATGTCAGACATAGAAAAACAGGAAGAAATCTCTACACTATTGTAATGTGGAAGTGACATAAATTGGTGCCTTAATTTTCTGATCAGTAACATGCAGGCATATAATCACACTGGCAAAAGAAATTAAATAGGAAAAAAACAACTCATAAGATGATTTTATAGTGATAATATTCATGTCTCACTGCTGTTTCTCATATGCCAAGTTTAAGTTATGAAAAGTTAGAACTGTTCTAAGGCATAGCTGGGGACCAGAAATATTTTAAGGAAGGGGTGATTAGTAACATTTTAAGATCTGATTTTTTATGAGAACTGTGACTGGGATTTTTTTGCAGGAGATACAAGTAACGGGAATAATGGGAAGCTGGTATAAATGTGATTATATAACAGTTTGGTAAGTAAGCTTCTCTCTTTACAGTCAATATTTATTTCAGCTGAAAGTTTTTCTGGCAGGTCTGTGTTACTTACTACCTCATGTTAATACTGTAAATTCTGAAGCAGATAAAATTTATTTCATTCACTTGTTCCTGAAATATACTCATGTTAAAACAGGAAAACGGAACTATTAAACAGAATGCATTACTTTTCCACACAGGGCACAAGTTTCAACAAGTGAATCCCACAGCATGATCATCTAAGATGCAAAAAACACTTAACGAAGACATCTAGAATCGATTGCAAAGAGAGAGCACTTTATTAAATAGTGTTCTGCTTATAAAATACCTCACATTGCAGGAATGGCATTGCATGCTACTTAATTATTGTGAAGATGATGTTAATGTTTAAATAAAAATAGTAATATGTGGTATTGCAAATAGGAGTGTTTACAGCTTTAAATATTGTGAAATTGTCTCCTGCAGTGGATTAAAAGAACTGTGCATTTTTCTTTTTTAAGAAAGACAGGGGAGAAGGCAGACAGGGGAGAAAAAGACCCTTAATATGCCATTTTACCATATTTCTCGCTAGAGCATTTTGCAATGTGTATAATTCAGAAGTTTATTATAGGACAGTCTTTATATTCATTTAGCTAGACACAGAAAAGTGAAACACTACACAAATCTTAGTGCAATGCAGGATAGCTTTAAGGTTTTAATGATCACAGACAGACAAAAAAAAAGGCAGCTACAGTGTATATACACAGCTATGCACAGAAGATTTCTTACCATAAATTGCACATTGTCAAATCCATTAGCCAGCAAGTGGTTTTCATACTGAGGTAGCCCAATATTTTCCAACCATTGTCCCACTGTCTGGACAGGGCATCGGGGTCCTGTAGGAGGGTGAAGAGGGAGGCGTTTAAGCAACGAATAACCGTCCACTGGATAATAGCGGTAGTCCTGGGCTGAGAGGTGGCATTGCCACATCGTGTTCCTGGGAAAGTTGGTATCAAAGGAGCCCGCCAGCTTGACAGATTAATGTTTTCAGCAAGCAGAAAAGTCAGAAGTAAAACATAGTTTACAGGGCAGTATATACCGTAAGATCTGATCCTAGCTCTACATTTCTTGGTTATTAATCTTTACTACAGACCAGTACGTCATACAGAAGGAAAAAAAAAAAAAAAAAAAAAAAGCATATCAAGCTGTCAGCTAAGCAGCTCTCCGTTATATGTGATTGTTGGAATACTCCACAATGAGCAATGCACTGCCAGCAGCAAGAATTCTTTTTATCAAGTACTCCTACACTCATCAGTATGCAGCTCCATGCTTCTTGCTCCCCCTCGCTCGCTCCCCTTCATTACCCAGCCTAGGCTACACCTCGCATTTTCAATAATAGCCATCAGATAAGGCAGATTTTTTTTTTGTCTGCAAGCTGTAAGCCTGCTGCTGCTGCTTCCTCCTACACACCCATCCAAGCGTCAATCTTGAATGATGAGAGCAGTCAAAACAAATGCAGAAAATAGCAAGATTCAAAAGCAACCCAGAGCTCTTAAATCTGAATAGAATCTTTATACCACTTACGCTTTACATATCTGTTTGTTGTAGGTTTTTACGTTTCACAAGACATTAGGAAAGACAATACATAAACCACAGCCTATGGCATGAGTTACTGTGCATTCCTTTTTCTCTTTTTAATACAACGTAGGCAGTGGTCTGCATTTCTGATTATATAAAAGCAAAACCCTTTAACGAATCAATAATGAATACATCTCACAGTTTCTCTCCTGTGGTACAGCAAAAGACATAAACTGCACAACAGTTTTAGTCCAAGTAATTAAATTATCTGCATGATTTCTTCAACCGTAAAATACTATAAGACAGAAGAAAACCTTTATGACAACAGAAAATGATTCAACTTGAAAAGGTCACCCTTCAAATGAATAATTAAAAAAATGTTTTTACTAAATAAAATTTTAAGTTTATATCCTTTTTTTATAAAAACATGAAAGATAGCAAACAGACATACAAGACAGATGATTTCTAGTAAGGCTGTAGATGTTGCATCTTTTATCAACTATAGCTGGAAAAAAAATTAAATAGGAAATGGTAAATTTAAAAGCAAATTTTGCTCAAGAAATTAAATACTTCAAGAAAGATCTTCCATCAGTGTTTAATTTTTGAGGTGGTTTCTCAAATGGAAACATTTTATGCTTTTCTTCTCAGAGGAATATTTACTAAACTTTTTCTTTTCATAACAAGCTCAAAGGTTATAAGGCTCAACCCAAAAAGGCAGAAAATGGATATATTCAGGATACAATTCTAAAAACTCCAACAGAACTTTACTTATTGAACACATTAATACTTTTCTTTGTTTTTCTTGTCCACTGTGAATCTCAAGTGATAATCAGCACAAGGTGGAATTTAATTCCAAGCATAGGGAAATTCAGATTCCTGTTGGAATCACAGAATGGAATCTTAGAAAGGCCTGGGTTGAAAAGGAGCATAATGATGATCTAGCTTCAAACCCCTGCCACAGGCAGGGTTGCCAACCACTAGACCAAGTGGCACAAAGCCACATCCAACCTCTTAAGAGTATCATTTGAAATTTATCATATCTTGGGATAAAGTTGTTTCAGAAAAATCCAAACTTACATTCCAGCCAACACGTTATGATACACATTGTAATTGAAAATGACATGCACAAGCTTCCCAAGCAATACCAGAATGTACTCCAAACTGAGACAGATATTTAAAATTAAACATATTCTAAGAGTTTGTACAGCAACCTGAATAGTCCTTGAACAAAAATCAGATAACCTTTCACTGTCTGATCTTGCTGCTTGGATTTGTAGAACATCTCACACAAACAGATTTCAGAATAACTTTAGCTCAGCCCCAGAAGATTTTCCTTTAGGTTGGAAAGGAACTAAGAACAGGTCTGTTGCAGGAGCTGATGTTACTCCAGGTCTTCCTACTGCTTTGAAACACTAATCTGTGAAGTACGGAGGTTTCACTGGGCCTCTCACTGGGCTTACCAGGAGGTGGTCAACCTGTAATTGCTTTTGTGAGTCTTCTCAGTAATTTAATATCAACAGCATATGAATATATGCAATATAGAGCACATTTCTTTGCTAAGTACAGTTTGCACAAATATCTACGTGTACTAATAGATTATCCAGTTTTTCTTAGAGAAAGTAGATATTCCAAAATTATGGGAATCTAGGTCTCATGGAGATGCAAACTGATTTCTTTCCACTCCTGTAATCTTCCCTATTTTGTAAAGTTTTTCTACTAAATATCTTATTTTTTATATAAATATATCCATGTATCAATATAAATACCTTTGTACCTACAGCATAATCCATTTAGGGCTGTGCCTGGTCAATAGCAAAGCAGTAAGGAGGAGGATAGACTATGTTGAATTGAAATATAGTGGGCAAGAAAGTTTGAAAAGCTGGGCAAGTTCTTCAGATAAGAAATTGGAAACAGAATTATGTCAAGCACTGAATTCTTCTTAGTTGAACGATAAATGATGAATTCCTTTGAAAAGGATTCCTAATGTTGTTATGCCCATTTCCTCCAACAAAAAGAAAAATGATTATGGGAAGAGATCTAGTAAAGCGTAATCTCATTCATTCAAAGGATTATGTGTGATTGACTTCTGTATTTCCTGTTAATTCACAGACACAAATGTCTCTCTACCCGCTGTTCTCCATAAACAAAAATGTTCTACCCATAGTAATGCATAACCAATAATCAATACACCAGTTTCACCGTCAAACTGCTTCTTCCTTACCTTACTATAAACAGCATGGAAGTTATGCTGCCAGCACTACATGAAAAGTGCTTGGCTCAATGCCTAGCAACAGTGTAGGCAAAATTCCACTTCAGAGTGGCTCCCCAGACACATTTCATGTAGCTACTGGTGCTGTGTTTAACAGTCTCCCCAACTCGAGCACTGGGTGCCTGTAGCAGCGTTGGTCACACTGTGCACTCTTCTGCTCTGTCAGTACTACTCTTGCCAGTAATAACTACTTGCCTGAGCCCATCAGCGCAACATAAGGTTGCTCAGCATGGGGAAAGAAGATAAAGAGAAACATGGCCAGCCCAGCTTATAGCTTTGTCTTCATCCGTGACTATCATCTCAATGGTAGAGAATCCCAGTATTATAAAGACTACTTTCCCTCTTTTTTGCACCAAGAAGTAGTAACATAGAAGGCAAAGAGCAGAGGCAGGAATTAGGATCATGTCTGCTGTTACATGAACTTGCAGCTCATTTGATCTCCTTTACCAGTCAAAGAGACTTACTGCAAGGGGGCTGGTTGGACAAGTTTTCTGAGCTTCTGCAAATGGATCCTGGAGCTGCTGCTTTGAGACCAGAAGGCTCTCTCATTATTTTGCTCAAGTTTATGATTCAGTGCCAGCCTCATGTGCATGTGCTACAGCAGGCAATGCCTACTCTGCCTATGCCTAAAGCTGGTCCTGATACTGAAAAACATGGTGTGGACCTGTAAGGTATGGTCTCATCTGCAATACCTTTAAATATCGCTGTGCTTTTCTGTGATTTCAAAAAACACAAATGCCATGATAATTTTTCTGTGAGACCACAACCAAAACTGACGCATTCTTTCCTGCATGGAAAAATTAAAGTGGAAGTCTCTTACAGGGATAGAAATACTTTCTTCTTTCTTCTCCAAGGCAATAGAAGCACATTCAAGCGATGTCTGCAAGAAAGATGCCATCTGGTATGCTATACAACAATTTCTACAAGATGTCTTTTTCCCAATGAGACTCAGAATATCCTTGTTGTGGTGGAATAGGCTTAATCTGTGATATCAGTGTGCACTGATGTAAGGCAGATTTGCTCTAAATACTAAGGAATTTATGGTCCCCTCTCTTCTACTTTTTCTACTATTAGCACCGCAGATTTTCTTTCTTTCTTTCTTTGCTTTTATTGAAGAAAATAAAGAAATACAGGGACTGTCATGATTTACTTGCAGAGAAGGTGCTGCCACAGTTAACATTATAAAATCTATTTTCTTACATAAGTTGGTATGTACATTGAACATACTCTTGAACATTACTAAACAGTTCTGGTGTTACAGAATCAAAGACAGGAGAATTTCAGTAGCTACCTGACCAGAACATTTCAGAGAGATTATCACAATGTGAAAAGATGAATCTTTCAGTTGACAAGCAATATAGCAGGTCAGGAGAATTAGATACTATATACCATGAATGGTTGTTTTGTGAATAAAAGCTTTCTGCCTCACATAACACAACATGGAATATAATTTTATTCTTGTATTTATGATTTCAGCTGGAGAAAAAGTTATATATCAACACTGCAACAGAGTGTGTGCCAAAGGAGAGTTAGCATGACTCGGTATTCTAGTGATTTCTGGACTGTCTGCAGGGAAAGAAAGCTAGATTAATCTTCCACTTTTCTACTATAACTCTGTTCAATGAGAAATTGAAGGGAATGTGACTTCTCTGCTTTCTGGATACTATCACAAGTCTAATAGGTTACTCTGATTATAGTCCACTCAGGAAAGCTGCAGTTAGAATGCAATTGGAATTCAGCTGTTTGTTTCTTTTTGTGCATGGATGGAGCTGCTACTGATGGAGGTAGTGGTGAGCACGTGACATTAAATCAAACCTCAGTGGACCTCTCTTATATTATGACATTACTCATTTTGATATAATTTTCTTTCGTTTGACAGATATTTCAGCTACCTGCCATTTTTTCAGGAATCCTATTCATATCTAAAGGGTAATTGTAGCTTAGATGCAAGTTAATAGCATTTTCTGAAAAAACAAGTTAGTTTCTCAGAACAATTTCCCTGCTTGTCTTGGTAACTTTTCACAGGATAGTAGTAGCACTACACTTATCACCTATGAGTAATCATTTTCACTGTTCTCATCCAGGATGAAAACATAGCTTTAAAATTTACATGACACCATGGCCAATCAAAATGTTGTATTTA